TGCTTTCTTGACCTCCTGGGCACTTCCCAGCAGCTGACATGTGAGATGTTCACTTGGTCTTTGTTGATTATCACTTTCCCCCATTAGAACATAAGTGCATGGAAGTGGGGGTTTCACCTGTCACATCCCAGTGGGATACACAACACCAGGCACATAGATGTCGTCCGTCAGTATTTGCAGAATGCCGGAGGGGATGGGTCTGGGGGACGTGTCCTGACTCGGCCAGGCTCTTGCTACACCCTACATTCATTCAACTGGAAGGAAAGTGGGCAAGGCGGGTGAGGCGGCAGCCCCGAGCTTGGCTGAGTGGTGACTGGGGCTCAGAAGGAATCATAGGAATACCAGGACTGAGAGAGGAGGTCCTGTGGCCTCCAGGATCGATTGTGCTAAGAACTGAGGCTGGCCATGGCCCGGGGCTTGGAGGCCAGGAGGCTAAAGGTGAAAGGCAGCCACCTGAGCAACCCGGGCGCAGCATTCAGGCAGACACCGTACAGGCCACAAGCACTGACATCAGCTAGGACAATGAAGTTCTGTCCCAAAATTTGATCGGGACCTGCTGTAAACACAGAGCTTTATCAAGTGTGATTTCTAAGTGGATCACCAACCCCCTCCACCATAAACAGTGCAGGGATGGGTCCTGGATAGGTAAGGGAAGAAAGAGATCAACACTGGGCTCTGGGGGGATTCACACTGGGGTGGAAGGAGTCAGGCATTATGGGAGAGCGAGGGTTAACGGGGAAATATGGCGCAGGAGTGACTAGACAGCTAGTGGATGGGGGAACTGGGCATAGCACATTGGGGACCTGGACAAGAATGGCCCACAGAGCTTCCAGACTACAGGATGGGGCACACCTGGAGTGTGCAAGAAGTTTGTGAGGTGCCTGGATGTGCAAAATGCAACAAGGACAAGGCTCAGTGTAGCCCACTATGGGCCTGGCACTGTTCTGGGCACTTGGGATACTTAGTAAAGAAAACAGGCAAAACTCCTGCCCCAGTGCACTGGGCTCCTAGACAATAACCACACAATGCATGATCATGCAGGAGGTTAGAAAGGCACAGGTGCTAGGGATAAAGAAGAGTCGGGTAAGGTCTTAAGAAATTCAGGATGGCCAGCGAGTGAGCATTGGGGGAGTCCAAGCCATTAGCGCAGACAGATGGCGTTAACTCCACGAAGCTGAGGCATGTGCTCACCAGTGACTTACAAGGACTCACAAGCAAGTAGTGAGGACAGAGCCGGGCACCTGAACTTGGGGAGAACAGAGTCATAGGCAGCTGCTAGAAAAATAAGAACCCAGCATTTCCACTGGCTTCAGCCTGGAGGTGGCTGCTGACTGGTGAGACAGCTTCTGTGAGAGTTGCAGGCAGAAGCTCTGTGGGGATGTTGTCAAAAGACACCAGGGAGGGAAAACTAGAGACAGCAGCGTGAAGTTCTCTCTCAAGTCACTTTGCTGTAAAAGAAAGGAGAAAAATAGGGCAACAGAGAGAAAAGGGGATTGAGAAAAATTCCCAAGGCTGTCTGCTCTTGGGAATGATCCAGTAAAAATTGGAAAACTGAGGATACAGGAGAGATGCCAAATGATATCCTTGGGTGAACGAGAAGGGTTGGGACCTAGGGCACTGGCTTTATGGGGAGCGTGGACAGCTCATCTGGTGGGACCCAAGGGGGGGCTGAGCAGGTGGGTTCAGATGCAAGTGTGCATGTGCTATGTGGTGGGATCTGATGGAGGGAGGGTCTTTTTGGAGCAGCTTTCTTTGCGACTTAGGAATTTCTCATCTGAGATTGGCAATTGGGGACAAGATGTTGGAGATTTATAGAGAAAGGAAGAAGAGAGTTGGTCTTGGAGAGTGGGAGATGGGGGGCGGCTGCCAGGAAGCACTAAGAACTCATTAGTGGTTTGTGGTCATGAATTTGAAGTGAGACCACTCAGCACAGTTTGGTGGTTCATCTCCAGCCACATTTCTCACATGGCTGCAGGCAGGAGGTAGGTAAGAAGTCAAGTCAGGCTTAACTCAGGATGTGGTTTTTCCATGCAAGAGCCAAAAACAGAGAGCGTGAGCAAGGAGATTGAGGGGGTGGGATATGAGGAAGTGGCAATAATTGTCCACGAAGCTCAAGCCACACAAGAAGGAAAATGGAGCCCCAAAGGATCTGGGGCGGTGAAAATGTGTTGAAGTGTCAACCCCAGCTGCGGAGTCGGTGAACTGGAATGGTTGGAGGTAGAACATGTGAAATTGAGATTTATTGTGGGGTGGAGAGTGTGCCAGTTAGTTCTAGCAAGGTCAAGGCTATGAACTTGGCCGTGAGTGACAGAAGCAAGGAGGAAGACAAGAAGACAAGTTCACTGGACGGTTATTTACAATCAATATTAAAATCGCCAAGAATTATGGAAAGGAAAGTGTTGGAGAGAATGGTAGTGCACAAGGACCTTTTCAAAATCTTCTGTGAAAACATTAACTACACACACACACACACACACACACACACACACGCACACACACACATACACTTTTTTTTTTTTTATTCAAATAGGCCTTGTGATAGCTTGTCAGCCTCGGATCTTGGGCTTCTTGAAGGCCAGGCATGAGTCCTACATGGACCACACGTGATTCTGCTAGGATATGTTCTGTCAGATCTTTTCAAGTGAATATAACTTCACGGTGGAACCTCTGGGCTACCAGGAACCTGGCTCTTCACTATCTTTCTCACTTCCTCTCCGTCTAAAGACAAAATCAATTGGCCGATTATAAAGGACATCCAGAAATAAACTGAACAATAACCTTTCTAAAGACATAAAAGAAAATCCAAATATAGGGGAAGGATCTATGTTCCTAGATGAAAAAAATTCCATGTTGTGAAGATGTCCCCAAATCAAATGCCAAATTCAATGTCCAGTTGGAATCTTGATGAGACAGTTTTGGAGCTTAACAAGGTGACTCTAAAGTTCACCTGGAAGAGTAAATATGTGGGCTGGGGCTGCAGCTGAGTGATACAGCATTTGCCTAACATGTGTGAGGCCCTGGGTTCGATCCTCAGCACCCCACAAAAATAAATAAACAAAATAAAGGTATCGTGTCCATCTATAACTGAAAAATAAAAATTATAAAAAGAGTAAATATGTGATGAGAGTCGAGAAAATGTTGTAAAGGGGTCATGAGAAAGGCCTTGAATTACAGATGTTGAGTCATCTATTAAGTTACAGTAAATGAAAGAAGTGACATACTGGGGCAGAAAGGAGCCCATAGATTCACGATAGAAGTCTGTACACCCAGAAAAGAGCACTGGAGGAAACAGATATTTCAAATTAGTGCGGTAACGATCTAGCAAATAACTGTTGGTTTTCATTTAGGGGAAAAGTTTAATCCTTGCATCATACCATGTATAAAAATAAATTCTAGGAACAGCAAAACCAAAATGTTTTTAAAGTATATGCTAGAAGAAAATATAGGAGACACCTTAATAAAAACAGAGGTGAAAGAGTCCTCTGCAAAAGCAAGACTCTGAAGCCAGGAGTGAGGAGCAGAACTGACTACAACACAGCCAGAAGAGTATCTCTGCACAGTAAAAGATAGAGGTCTGAGAACTTTCGGGATAGGCAAAATGTATTTATTTATGTTTTGGGCTATTAAGGACAACATTGTCTAAAAAAGGATTTGGATATTGACAATAATGAATATAGAACAAAATAAAAGATGACATACACTTGCATATTTATGACTGGAGATGAAGGTGAAATATGTGTGTGTGTGTGTGTGTGTGGGTGTGTGTGTAAATGAAGATAAAAATCAGTGAGCAAAATATCTCCCATAATACCCTAACAAACAGCACCTTTCTATTTGAGCTTCCTAGGTGCCAGAAAAAAAACAACAACAAACAAACAGATAAGCAACCTCTATAGTAGGCTTCGTACTGTCTGTAAGGAAATTATAATTAAGACATTTAGAAGACATAGGTGTGTCCAATACTGACAAGAGAAAAGTCTTGAGTAGATTCCCTTGTCTTTGGAAATAAAAGCAATATATAAATCTGATACAAGCTGAAAATTTATTTATCAAATTTAAGGTAGCCACACAACATCCAACAAGCCTTGTGGTGGTAAACTGATAATCCCCCGATTATCAGTGGGGCTTCCACCGTTAGCATCCACCCAACGCCTTCAGTTTTTTGATGGGATCTCTAGCCATAGGAAGCATTTCTGTGTTTGGTTTTTTTTTAGATAGTACTGAGGTTTGAAGGTACACCGGTCAAAGCCACACCCCTCAATGTCCTGGTCCTCCTCTCCCCCTCCCTCCTGGCCTCTTTTTTTTCTGCCTGTCACCTCTGCCCTCCTACCAGGCCCCCATGTTCAAATCTCTCACCATCAAGGAGCATTGCTGCCCCCAGCTCTGGTCCTGACACAAGTGGCATCCAAACCCTTGGAACCCAACACCCCACCCACGGCTGTGGGGTTGCAGCAATTCCTCATAAAAATCGAGTGTCTCAGAGGAATGTCCTCACTGTCCCCCTCATGCACTGGGTTCAGGGACTGGTCACCCCTGACTTCCCTCCATAATGCCCTGAACAGTTTTGAGAAACAAACATCACCTTTCTCTTGGAGCTTCCTGGATGATGGAAGAAAAAGAGGGAAGCAACATCTATCGGGGGCTCTGGAGTGTCTATAATTAAGGTATTTAAAAGATAGCGACATCTCTGCTACCCACACAAGAAAGGTCTCCAGTCGACCTGAGCGTCCTGGCACAGGAGTGTGGGTCCCTTCCTTCCAGCGGCTAAGGTGGCACCGAGTCTGCTTCCCAGAGGGCTCATCAGCCTGGGCATCTCCTTACAGCTCGCTCTCAGCTCCTGCACTGGTTTTTAAATAAGTTTCTTATTTTAACTATGAATCTGCACAGTGGAAAGTAGGCGATCAAAGGAAGAGAGTCGGAAATCACGAAGTAAACAAGTGTCTATTTCCAAGAATGTTCTACAGACCGAGCATGACCTGAAGGGCCTTTGCCAGATTCCCCCTCAATCCCGCCCGTGGTTTTGATGCCGTATCTGAAGATGGTGTTTCGTGTCCATGTTCTTTGCTTCAGCTTCCTGGATTCTGACAAGTGCCTGATTCTCTACGGCGATGACCAGGTAGGTGTGGGGGTGGAACTGAGTCAGGAACCAGAAGACCATCTGCTGTCCTTTGCAGAAGAAGCAAGGGGGAGGGAAGAGGCTGGGAGCATCTGCGTCTCCAAGCTGAGCTGGAATGAAGAGGAAAAGAGACGAGGAAACGCGGGCGTCGTGAGAACAAACGCATTCAGGGGTCACACGTGAGTAAGGCTAGCTGGCAAACCTGGTGCTCTTAGCACTGTCCTCTCACCTTGCTGCACCCTAAGAGGTGGTTATTATCACTGCCATTTGTGAGAATGGGGAAGGTCAGCCACAGAAGAGTTATTTAATTTGCCCAAGGATCTGGGATTCCAAGAGGTGGCAGAAATAGGATTTGAACCCAAGCAGGTTGACATGAGGAAACTAGACTTAATGATTATCAAGGGAACAAAAGAAACACTCCAGGTAAGTGAATGTATGCAGAAATGCACCTGGGAATGGAGGAGTCACCCTGAAAGCGTGGAAGTCGGAGACAGGGGGCAGGGAAATGGCACAGCTGGCTTGCTCCCATTTGCAGGGAAGGTTCCTGCTATCCTGGGCCAGGAGCGAGGAATCCTTTCTCTGTGTTTTGCTTCCCAATTAGAAATAAGGCTTACATGCAAATTACCCTAGGAAAGAACACAATCTGCGTAAACAACTGAAGCTGAATGATTGGCTATTCTAGAATTTTCTGGAGAACAGGTTTGGACAGGGTAATGACAGGAGGATATCTGATTCTTGCATCAAGGAGGGAGAAGAGGAAGATAAGCAAGGAACAGAGGAATTGAACTTCACCTGGTCTTGCATCCTAATGTCACAGAGATGTTGCCTTTTTCTTCGTTCTCCTTAAAGCCTTTTAATGCAGATGTGATTAATTATGAGGAGCCTCAGGAGAGAGCAAGTGCCAGGCATTTGCCTCTACAGAGACACACAGCCCAAGGACCCATGGGGGTGGGAGCAGGAGAGGATCTACGCATGCCCAGCTCTAGGGGGCGCCATTCACACAGGCTACAATATGAATGGTGCCCTGGATTTGTGCCACGCAGCCCCCAGGCGAGAATGCCTCCAAAAGCATATAAGGCACAGGGACGGGATGGCAAAGGGAAGCTCCCTCTTGATCAGTAGTGTCCTGTGGTGGCCAGCCACTGTAAACAGGGCTCCCTGGCTGGGCCTCTCCCTGGCTGCTCTCCTGGTTCTTCTCCTCCTGCAAAAGCCAGAGAGGGAAGCCAAGGGCAGGTCCCAGCGACACGACACTGCCTGTTCATTAGAATGCAGGTTCATTGGTAAAAATGCAAATGATTCATTTCACTTTATCCTTCCGACAGACCGTGCGGTAGTAATAACTGACTGCTCCCTACACCTGTCATCGCTGCCGCACTGCTCACTTTGTGTAAAGGGCCTGCCACCCTTCAGGTGTATATATAGTAACCGTCATTAGAGTCCGCAGGCTGGAGACCCGATCATCCACTGCCCCCTAGTGGACACCATGCGAATGAACCCGTACACGTAGCGTGTTCCTGCTCTGATTTAGTTTCTACGCAAATGAGGGTTGCATTTATCTCAGGAATAGTTTGCAGCTTCTGCTGCTTTCATCTCTTGCTAGTATCTGTGGTTCTTAATTAACATGCCTAAAATGGAATAAAATGTCAATCAGGGGTGACTCTTTGTAGAGCTATATTTGAATGTTAAAAAGTCATGACATTTTCAAACAGTATTTAAGGCTTCATTTGATGCTCATTTTGAAAATCAAATTTCTTTAGGTTGGGAAAAGGCTTAAAGTGAGCATAGCATTGAAGATCAGGTTGCCATTTAGCATAGCTGCAGGTTGTGTGTGAGAGAAACAGGTTTATTTATGAGACAGAAGCTCTGGATTCTGCCTGCCTTGTCACCTAATCTGTCATCCAATCATCCTTTGGCAGCTTGCAAGGTTTTCATGATTTGCATACTTCTTGGTTGTCATGTGTCCCTGGAATCCGGGGCCCAATCATACTCAGAAGAAGGAGAGCCACATTTGCAATGTGCTGACAAAGGCCAGAGGAACTTACTCATCAATGGCTACTACAAAGGCTGCCATTGTAGTAGTCACTCAAAGATGAGTGACTGTCCTTGCAGCTTCTCTAGGTTTGCACTCAGCCCAGGATCAGGTACTTAAAAGATACTTCAAAAAATATTCACCAGTGTTACAGCTAGCATAACAGGAAAAGTATTTCTTAAGAAGGTTAAGGCATAACTTCTATACCTGTTTGGAGCTGTTTCCTCATTGCCAGGACTTGAATAGATTTGAAACTACCCCAGAGTTCAATTACTGTTGTTCTAACCATATGGCATGTCTATGGACTAGAACAAGTCCCTTTCCATAGACTGGACTCTTGCCCTCAAGATCTCTATCAGTAAGTCTGGACCAGCGGTGTCCCAAAGCATTCCTCACATATATGGACCAGCATTTCATCTCCATTTGTAGAATGTTGCTAGTTTTGTACCACCCTTGGAAGAATTGAAAAAAATACTATCTCAAGTAATGTTCCGTGCATCATGATTCAGATAAGGAAACTAGGCTCAGAGCAGTCATGAAAAAAGTGATATCTGGTGAGATAGCCCAGGGAATAATGCTACAAGTCCCCAAGTCCCCTGATAATACAGCAGACTCTGCCCTGATGGTCGGAAAGTTCCAAGACAGAAAAATGTTGGGGAAAAAGCTTTGGTGTATCAACACAAAGCAGAACTCAAAATTTTCCATCCTGTGTAGATCAGAAACCACAATAAGTGAAGCGCTTTGGGGTTCTTTCTAAACCAACTGTAGTTTTCCCCAGGGTGTCACAGGAAGTGCTGCTGGTGATTCATGGGGTTAAACTTTTCCTCTTGAGTTAAAAATAAATGGAAGCTGCTGCTTAGTGTGGAGGGGGAAGGGCCACCGCTGGCCCTCTAGCATAGGGTGAGTTCTAGCATAGGGGGGGGACAGGACGGCTTACCTGATCAGACTCGAAGGGCTACTGAAGAACATGGCCAAATTCCTGGCCATGGAAACATTTTATTATGATAATAAAAATAAAATAAGCATGGGATATAAATAACTCACCAGAGTGAAACCAGTGGATAGAGTTGCCTTTTCTATATATCCACATTATAGCCCAGGGCAGTTTTCGGGCTATTTTGTTACTTGGGTCAAATGGCCCTCAAGTGGCTCCATTTGACCTAACTCACTTCAGTTAGGCAATGTGTGTCATAGACCTTGAGGCTGCAGAACCAAACAGTTATCTCATCTACCCCGTGGCGTCTACAGCCAGTATCATTTCTAGCAAAGTCCTCAAACTGAATTAAGTTCCAGGAATGGGGAGAAGGCAAGGCAGAGAGGAGGCATGGCTGAAAGCTAAGCATATTCTTTCATGGGTCTTGGAAATTTTGAAATGACGTAGACAAAATCAAGCCAAAACACAGGTATGCAAAACAATGAAGAAGGGCCCGTTAAGAACAGCAACATAGAAGATGCCAGTATTTTCTGCTGTCTGGCCTGCTTCATCCTAAGGTCTCCTGCCTGCCCCAGTGACCTGATTGGTGTGTAAAGTGACACAGGAGGCAGTCATGCACAGAGAGAGCCCCTCTTCCAAGCTGGCCGTCATTCAACCAGGAGGTAGCTTGCACTATGCCACCACACCCGCCCCGGCTGATCTCTGGCCAAGCTGCCTCATTGGCCATACGGATCATGTTTTATGCAAGGGTTTCAAAGCTGCTGCTGCCGTTGCTGCCGTGGTGGCTCTAACCTGGCCTTTTCGTGTCTCAGTCTAGACAGATGCATGATTGAATAAAGGATTCATCCAAGCCCCATGTCACATTGGCCATCTGGAAAGTAGCCAACCACTCATTTAGCAAATTGCTCTGTTTAAATGCAGCTGCTGTGCCTCAGCGTTTACGCTACCAAGACAGATCGCACGATTCCCTCTGCCTTCATTTATCTAAGCCGCTCCTCTCAATCTGCCTAGGAACTTAAAAAGCCTGTTAATGCATGACAAGGCACTTGACCCGCATGATTTCCAAGCCAAGGGGGAGCATCCGTCTTGTGCTGGGCCGTCCTTTCCTCAAAAGCAAGGGCACGTTGCCTGTGCTCCCTGTCTTAATGAAGGCTGCCTTTATTAAGAATTCCATTAGCTCCACAGCGCCCAGCCATCCAACACTGTAAATATTACCCTTTAGAAATGCACCCAGGGGCCTGGTGCAGGCGGCTGGCCCGGTAGCAAATGCCCGCCCTGGCAGTCGGGAGGCGACCTCAGACCTCAGATCTCTGCAGAGGGAAGGGTGTCCTTTGATGGGTTGGTGCCTCTCTCTTTAGAAAGATGGATTACAGTCGTTAGCAGATAATGTCAACAAAGCCCCTGAGATGACGTGAATAAGAGTTGGAAACAAAATGACTTCAGAATAGCAATGAGCTCTGAGGTGTTTTACCTGCAGGTTTTTTGGTTTTGTTTTGTTTTGTTTCCTGGAGTGGGCAATGGAAGAAAGGAGACCACTAAGGCTAAACAGGTTGCTATCTGGATGTCCCTGGTCACGTTGGCATGGTGCTGATTGTCACCTGTTATTTACCAGGGCCAATAATCCTGGTGACCATTGCTTCCATAAATTGCTTAACTCATTTGGGGTCCCGGTATTATTAAGTCTGGCAGCTAGAAGTCAAAATCAGTGAGTTCATCAAATAAATATCATGTGCTCACCTCTTAGCTAGGCTCCTTGGAAAAGAATGGTACAATAAATCATCTCTGCAATCAAATGTTTTGGGGTGGGAGAGAAAAACACAAAAACAAAGCAAGATAAAACCAATGGGAATATTTGTGGGCAGGATTGCATGCGAGCTTTAATCCCAATGCAGTCTTGGGCAAGTTCACCTTCTGAACCTCAGTTTCCACATCTCAAAATCAGATACACATTTACCTTTTGGATTATTTTTAGGAGTGGTCACCTCAGTCCTTACATATGGTAACAGCTCAACAATCCTACTAGTGATAGTTAAAAGATACACCATCTCAACTTTTAATATTGGAGGAATTCAGAGGACACAACATTTTGGACTAGAGCAACTGAAGCAACCTTTATGGACCAGTTCGATCCTGAAGGAAAGATAAAGCAGGGAGGGTGTGGCTGGAGGAGGCAGGTTGTGGGGAAGGTCCCTATGGAGTGTTTCTTTTGTCCCTGG